CCCGTGCAGATCTAATGCGCCGAATTCACACCTCGACGGGTAATCCATACCGACAGGAACTGCGCAAGGGAACATCACCCCCATCCCCACCCACCATTTTTATTATCCCAATTTTACAATTAAAAACAACAGAATTGTCATAATTGGAGTTACGGTGACGTAGAAAATATCCTGTCCCAATTTTGTACGTCCCACAAATATTCTTGCCAGCCATAAGAATAATTCTGGGGTGGAATTCGATTTGGGGATGAAAACGCTCGGGCGGGAATTACGCGTGCCGATGAAAATAATTCAAGCTATTAATGTCGGGCCATTTTAAACATTTGTCAAAGAAATTGTGCGAATTCTACGGATTCCAGAAACGTCGGAACCCGACCGGTCGACTATCAGTCCCCGGACTACCCCTAAACTATCCCGACCTTGCCTTTTCAGAATTGCAACCCCAATTAAAAAAAAAGAACAGATTCACAGATTTATCAAGGAAGAACAATTTTTATTGTTAAGACTGAAAGTTGTTTTACGATTCCAATTATGCAATTTTTCAAACATAACCGCATCTATTTTCTTTTTTTTGCTATTATCATCGAGCTGGATGGGACGAACGCTGATCCGTAATCGAATGCAATCATAATAACGTGCCGTCCGGAATGTTATCAAAAGTGCACCGTTGCATAAATAAAATGCGTTTAATATTGAACGGATCTCCGAGCCGGGGAATCGCAATTCCCTCGATATTGTCGAACGATATGAAACCCATCGAGCCCCGGCACAACGGAGCGGCAACACTTTTGCGAATTTATACGGGGCGGATTTTCATGAAAAACAGCCGGGCCCTTCGTTAATAAATGAACATCGACAGAGACACACACGGACATTTAATCGTTCCGATAAAATCGTAACAAGTATAATAATACAGTCTTCGTAATTCATCCGGCAATTTGATTGTTTAAATAGAAATGGACGATTGTTATTAACAATATTATAAACAACCTAAATTAACTCAATCTAACGCAACCTAATCTGACCTAATTGATATTAACTATGGCGCCTGTTCTTCAAATTGACGGCCTAAAAAGCTAAGCTAACCTAACCTAACTGATATTAACAATGGCGTCTTTTTCTAAAATTGACGGTTTAAATTATATTAAAGCTAACCTAACTTAACCTAGCCTTATCTAAACTAATCTGACCTAATTGGTATTAACAATGGCGCCTTTTTCTAACAATGGCGCCTTATTCTAACAATGGCGCCTTTTTCTAAAATTGTTGGTTTAAATTATATGAAAAGGCATGAATAAATCGAAGGAATGACTTTCATGAATTTTTATCAGAACGTGGACCGTGATCGGAATGGGGATTTCGGTGTCGATTTGCATATTTGATGAATCTGTGCGTTACGAGCCTGGGGATAAGTGCGCGAAATTGAACGACAAACGGGAAACAAACGAGCTGTCGGATGTACAATCGAAAACCATAAGTCTGTTAGTCCGAAGGCACGTCAGGGATCGGTGGATATCTGGACGGGTATAGTTGGACGTTTAATAAATAACTAGGATAGAGAATCGTGGAGCTTTCGACGCGATCCTGATTCCTATCCATGATTGATAGGTTGGCAACTTGACGCACGATAGCCAAATGAACATTGCGAGGGAAGTAAAGAGGAAGAATGGCTCGAACGTCTTGTTCGCGTTGTACCAAATTCAAAAAGAACTAAAATAGGAAACGTGGTGGAGAAAAATAACTAGACGGTAAAAATCTTTAAATTAATGGTTCTACGTGCTTGGGCGACGTTAAAGAAGAACGACGTCGTTCCACTTTCTTCTTTTAATTCCTTACATCCTTTAACAGAAGACATGACACAAGTCTTCTAAAATGATCGATGACTACCTCGGAGGCAAAACCAAAACAGCCATTTTGGAAATAATGATTATCATAAATCAGTAAAAAGTATCTGTGATATAATTGGCAAAGGCGAAACAGTCTTTCTTGATTGATAAATAAAGAATCTATATAAATATACAACATAATATAATACATATATTGTAAATATATATAAATTGTATA